TATCTAGCATACAAGCGCACCTTCGTTTAACAAGGTAGTTTTTCCCTCGCAAAATAGTTCAATTCGTTTTCGAAATTAAATTGATCGCTCAACGACAACTTCCATCCCGGTAAAACTATCCGCATTTACGGCGTCACGATTGCTTTCCACGGAGTGACAGTAGATTCGTCCGAAGTGCGTCAGACACACTGGCGACGAATTCGCGTGTAACACTCCCGGCCAGAGAAAAATACGCTCTGTTTGGACTGCCTGTTGGTGGAGAAGTCTCTTCGGTAGCGAGGAAAGGAAAGAGACGAAAGAGAGGCGCAAAAGGTCATCGCGGAAATCGAGAAACACGAGCAAAGCGGGAGGATAAATGATGGACGGTACTCGACTTCGCGGTAGATTAGCTTTTAAACGTGCAGCGGCATTTTACAAATCCGCAGTATTTCCAGCAGAGATTTCCCCACGAAAACGGGGAAGAGAAATAGCTCCAACGAGAGAAGATGACCCGACACGATGAAATTATCGCGCGCATGGAAGCTAAGATTGAAAAGTAATTGAAATTATTGGAATGGCGGTTATCCCGCGATCGAAATATCGTCTTGTTTACTAGTTTCACGCAGACTGTCAACGTGACAATTTATGACATAAGTGAATAAATTTGCTAGGATATTTCGGAAAATATTGGGACCGATCCAATACGTAACAAAAATTAACAATGTGAATTTCGGAAATGTGGGATTTATTTGCATATATATTTCCACGAGTGTGAAAGAGATGACTGACAGTTAGAGTTATTGACTCTTGAAATTTAGAAGATAAAATTGGTTAGAAAGAACGATTTGTCGAAATAATTAAGGGCGTGTTAGTAATTTTATACACCCTTTAAGAAGAATATTTCTTATACGTTCAAAACGTGTTATTTTCATCGTACAAAGCAACGTACAAAAGATTATATTGTTATCGTGCAGTATTAAACAAAGCACAATGGACGGTGCACTTCATATAACCTATGCAGGAACACGTATGTTAAAATATGCACGTGAATTTTCATGAATGGAACAACGCTGAATTACAACAACTTCGAACCAGCATTTGCAATGTACATGAGACGTACTGCAAGATAGAATAAAAAGACAACGCTTGCTACGTCGTTTATTCCGCTTCATTTGTTGTTATTCTCATTACTATATCGGCGAAGGTAAACACGAAAACATCGAACTTCGAAGTTCAAATTATTGTCTCGTATCAAAGTACGAAACAATATTCGAGAAAGAGAAATAAATTCGTTATTCAGCACGATTGATATAAAGAAAGGAAAAGAGCAGAATGTCAACAGCGAGTCGTGAAACAAACGTAAAGCAAAAGTTCCGCAGTTTTTATTCTCGGTGCGCTGGATAAATGATCGAACAATTAGAGAAACGAGCCGGCTCTTGCAACTTTGATTTCTCCTCCGAGGGAAATGAACGCGGCTAACGTGCGAACGCGGGGTTAATTTCAACCGGTTCGCGTACAAAGAAGAAAGTGCCAACGGAGATTTGAGAAAGGCACGCAGACGCGAGGGGCAAACTCGAAGCTATTGCAAACGATAAGATCGCCTTTGTGTCACGTGTTTTGCAATTTCGTGTGTCAAGAATATTTCTTCCGTAATTTCTCGCGCGCTGCCGTGGCACGCGACAGTCCTTTTCTCTCCTTTCTCTTTCTCTTTTCAAATTTTTTACTCACGTCTCTCGTCTCCGTTCCTCTAGTTTGTTCCTTTTTTCTTTTTCTCCTTTTCCTTTTTTTTCCTTTTAACGAGAATCACGTGCAGCTCATCGTCGTGGTCGCGACCGTAGCCGTCGCAGTTTAAGAGAACGTCGTTACCATTGTAGCAACGACGTCGCTGTGCGTCGTAAATAGATTTGCTTCGAACACAAAGTTCAATGTAAATGAACTCCAAGCGAATTAAGAGCACGACGAACGAGCTTGCATTCTACTTGCCTTCAATAGTTTCTGACAAAGAAACTATTGAAAGAATAGGTCATTCGGTTGTAATGAAGGCCCGGCTTTTTCAGGCCGAGTTTCAGGGGTGGTTTCAACTGTGACGACACCTCGGTGACATTAATGCCGAGATTCTTCGTGAAATGCATGCATTGCACGCAGTTCGTGGTAAGTGTATTTTATTGTCAGTGTGTGCAGAAGTATTTGTATCATGGAGGAGTTTAGAAGATTTAATTAATGCCTTTTATGACTAAAACCATCTAGTTACAATTAAATATCTTTCATAGATCTTATTAATTTATTAAAACTAAATTGAGTTGAATTTCTAAGGATTGTATATCTATTTGTATGACCATTTGCATTTTGTAGAAATTATGAATAATAAAATTTGCAATTTGTAACTTTCACGGTATTCGTACATAGCTTTGTAGTAGCAGTAAGTAGAATAAAATATTCAACACTCTCAATCAAGCAGAAAATGTGTTGAAAAGATATTTGATTGAAAAAGTGAAACATTCAACAGTGATGGAATAAATGAACAGATGAAAAACCGGATATCGAGAAAATCAATATAATTTGCAACTTGTATAAAATGTAATATCAAAGGAACGTACAAAATAAAATTTTTAAAAATTTAGCCTTCAATTCTTATTCTAGGAAATAAGAATTTGCGTACCTTTTTAATTTTTTAAATTGATTGTTTAGGATCACATCAACTACTGTAATAAATTATTATACATTTCGATTAAAGTTACAAGTTATTTTACAAATTTCGAAAAAAATCGATTTGTTTCAAAAATTTTTGCATTTGTAATGTAACCCTTTGAAATGCAAGGAAAGTATTTTCCAATTCTATTTTATAAAAAGAAAAATTAAAAATATCCAACTTTCCACCATACAACTATAATTTATATGCTATACTATAATACTAATTATAATACTATTTATAATTAATTTTTGCTACTTTGTATCTTGCAGATTATATTAAGTAATACATCATCTTTATATAGTTTCTGTTTTGACGGTTAAACTATAAGTATATTTCAACAGCACATGATTTGTGGAAACGATCGAGCAAAGTTGTAAATACGAAAGCGAAGCGACGATAATTTTTCCCTGGTCGAGTTAATATTTTTACCTTTGACGTGACATAATACGTAGTTGTATCTTTTAAGTCGTACGTCACGTAATGAATGACAAGCATGAGAAAGCCGGAACGTGCTGATTACCGTATGCATGAGTATTTTCGTTTATCTACAACGTATGTATTCCGTTTGCAAATAGCGGATCAACATGTTTGGAAGTATTCACGAACTTAGGAACTTGCAACTCGGTTGCAAATTATTCACAAACTTTCTACGCCCGTACGCGTCAAATTATCCCATTTAACACGAGCTAAATAATAAATTAACACAAATAATAAATTGTCTATGCATCGTATATGTACAAATGAAAATAATAAATCACGATTGTTAGATGTCATAAATAATAATAATTACGAGAATCAGATCACCGATTGAATAATTATGAAATTGAAAAATCACGAACATTGAATGTTTCGTTGAACTTGCTCGCTCGTGTTTAAAAAGAGAAACAGTCTTAAAACACTGCCATTACGTGAAGAAAGAACAAAGGCTGAAAAATATCAGTCAAGCTATTCGATACGAAATATCTACTTCATTGCTATAGTATTCAATTATTATAGTTGTTAATATCCATTGTATAAATATGTACAATTTCTGTCCATTACAAGAACATTCAATCATCATAAACTGTGATATCTATGTTATTATAAATCCAGTATTTCGAATAATCACAAACGTAGTCGATACTCGCAATAACGTGGAAATTAACTGAAAAACCGACAAACACCGAAATCGACGGTATATATGGGAACGAAATATTAAATGCAAATTCGAGCAAATAATCGACCGGCTCGATAAAAACGAAATTTTCGTACACCCAGGGATCCTGTTAGTACGTAGTATCGAAATGTGCACGTAATAACGTGGATATTCGATACTACGGATTCGATTAACAAACGGATTCTTCGTCCGACAGATAATAAACCGGCCGGGTATATGTTCGTTACCCGATTCAATGGAAAATCCACACAACAAACACGGTCGACGAAATTCAAAGGTGTTGGCGCATCTCTGCTTAGCCACCGGTGCATTCTCCCGATTAATTAACCTCGCCCGGTGTTTTCCTCTCTCCTTTTCCTCTCTCTTCGTCGGTTTCGACGACCGGTTACCTCTTTCGAATCACGAGCCACTGTGTTGAACGCGTGTATTCCGCTTAATTAGGGTAAAAGACGAGAGACGCAACACGGTTATGTAGAAGCAGAGGACAGAGAATTTACGAGGTCGTTGAAATCACGAGGTTGACGTTGCGCCAGTCACCGAGCGTGCCCTCTAGCAGAGAAGAATAATTACTACGTACGGGGGCGAGAGATTTGCCCGGAGACGAGTCGTCGCGTGTACGTTTCCAGCAATGAACTTTTGATTATTTTTGCAAATGAGCCGCAACGACCACGGGAAGAACACGCGGTGGTGGCACGAAATACCGTAATAAAGAAAAACAACAAGCGGCACTCGTTGACCCACAACTGTCGTCCCCAAGTTTACGAGAGACTTTCGCCTCGAGGGAACTCGCCCGTAACGTTCACACGCTATCGAATGAAAAAGGAAAAAGGAAAAAGGACAAAAAATCCGAATGATTTGTAGCTTGGCCGATCGAACCACCGAAGACACGAGAGAGAGCCATGTAGCAATATATAATATAACCGAGAGAGAAAGGAAAGAAAAAGAAAAAGAGAAAGAAGAAACCTCTGTGGCAAAAACTAGAGGGTTAACTCGACCGGGGTCGACGTTACAATATAATGACGATAATACTTTGTACGCGCCACGCCGTTCCGAGTACGAAAGATAAGCAAAGAAATCCTCCTCGCTCTTTCCTTCTTTCCATCGACTATCCATCCACCTATCTCACTGGACGATAAATAGAGAGTTCGAGTCTTATCGTGATTCGGTACTCACCGATCACGTAGCTATACCCGTCCAAGGTGAGAACACATTTGCGTGTGTTGGAGGAACTGGGAATCCCTGGCACTAGCCGTCGAGAAATTCGCTTACCAGGGCTGCAAGGAGTACTGGTGGTACTCGCAGCGCCTGGGTCCGAGTGGCACTTCTGCACCGGGTCTTTGCTTTGTCTAGACATCATCGTCCTCTTCTCGGAGGCCACTCGTACCGCCGCTTCTCCAGCAAGAAGCCGGAAGAAAGGAAAACCTACTTCCGCGCCATGCTCGCGGCGTACTTAGCCACGCGGCGATCCCCATATGTATATTCTATAGCTATCGCGGCCAACTTTTCATCCAGACACTCGGACAACGTGAATACACGAATACTCGTCATCGCCGTTGATTCACACCCCCGTTCACATCCGGTTCAAATTACGCGCACCACTTCACTCCGCGCAGTTTGTCCGTGTACGCGCGCGATTTTCCCCTTGCTCGCTGCAATGTTTCTTTCTCTGTTTGTCCTCTGTTTGCCCACGGCTTCTTTCGATTCTCTAACGAACCGACGCCGTTCGCAACGCGCTCGCTCCGAGAAGCTCGCGCGAATTAGTTTCGGGTCATGAAGCAAGTCTCACGACAGTGGGATTGCACGTTTCGCGAAATCCTCCACTCGACGACGTACGTCGAAAGACACGTAGCTGTAATCACGCGGTTAATCAAGACTCGCGTAATCCATTCTCGTTTTTCTCTCGGTGTCGTCACGGAATTGAAAAGTTTCAGCGTCGATGGAGGAGATATAAAACGGATTTCAACCGAGTAATTACGAGCGTCGCGTTTACGTTGCCAAGTTACGTGTAAGAAAATGGAGAAGGCTCCACTTTGAACAGAGCAATTGTTTGATAATGGCTTTCCTCTTGTTTTCGAGCGTTCTAAGCGCACGCCGAGTAATTTGTTCGACGTTCTCTGAAGAGACTCGGAAAGACTCCTTCGGGCACGTTGTTGCGTGCCCGCCTCTATTCCAGCTCGGATTACCACGTTTCGCGTCACTTGCCTTGCTACTTCTCTCGTCTTTCGAGTCTTTGATTTACTATGCCCTTTTGAAATCTCTTGCTCGTCTCAATTCCTAATTATACATACCTCTTCCCTTTTTCTTTTAATTTCCTGTATCCTCAGAAACCTTCGCTCGTCTCGATTATTTACTATATACTCTTCCTTCCTGTTTTTACTAAAGATTTTCCTTTAAAATCTTTCACCGATTTCGATCGTTAGTTGTACATTCCTCTTACCTTCTTATTTGTTACACACTAATTCTCTTCGTACCTCTGTTCGCTGGTCTCAATTAATTATGTATATTTCTTTTTTTAATCTTTACACGAAAGATCTTTTTAAATTCTTGTCGAAAGAATTTTTCGTTTTATGTCTGTGCTGCGACGCGAATTTACAACGAGCGTGTCGCAAAGAGTTTCGCCGATAGAGGTTAAGCTGATATCGTGACCATTAAACTATCCAGAGGTTCGATCAACTTCAATGACAATCAGTACATCCGGCGCTTCCCAGTGAACTTGCTTATCTTACTGGAATTACTTTCAACCGTGCTGATCTCCAACGAAGGATTATCGAGCATCGTTCTCCCCTTTTCGCCGGTGGAAACTTTCTCGGAACGTTCCGATCCACGTTCTTCGAATTACATCAAGTAGTTCAATTGCTCATCGAACGATCGTCGTAACTTATCGTTTTTTCCTCATTCGCCAGCCACGTTGATTCATAATCCAATTAACTTTGCGTCGGTGGAACGTCCGCGAATGCAAAGTATCTTCTACATTGCTTCCCAAGTAAAGTCAGTAAAAGTGCACGAGTTTCTTTCGCGATGAAGTTTGAACAAATGTCGGTTATACGATTCTTGGTTTTATCATTCTTCGATAAAACTCGTTCACCTTCGTCTTCTCCGTTTCCGCCAATTTCATCCAATTTCTATCGTCGGCAATGATTTCGGTCTCGTGAAACTCTCGGCTACTGTCCGGAGTCGTTGATCTTCAATTTATCGACCTGTGGATTCCAGAGTCTTTCGAACGCGGCAACAGCGTGCTACGTTCTCGTTACAAGGGTCATCGATGTTTTCATCACCTTTTTGTGTAAATCTCCATGCCCTCGTGGAACATAAATATATCCGCTGGCTCTGTATATCGACCAGACAAACAGACCAGTTCGCCTTGTTACTCGATTCCCTCCTACGTTTCTCGCACCTTCGCGAACGTTTGCAAGCCGCAAACGTGGCTCGATAGGGTTTCCGCCAGCGTAAAAATTTATGCCCGGCGAACACTGACCTCGGTGTCGATTACCAGCTAACGATCCCCTCGAGCAAACGACCTAAGAGGATCCTCCTCCTCCCCCCGTTCGTTAGATCGCTTCGTTCCGCCGATTTTTCCTGTCACGCACGCGTCCAAAATTTCTGGCAAATACCTGCCGTGCAGTCTTCCGAAATCAGTTACGCATCGAACGATCCTCCTCTCGTCCTTCAAAAGTGACACGATTAAAGGGACGTATGTGCAAGCCGGCTACTTCGAGTACCTCATTTACTTGAAGAACTCGATTGATCGACCGGTTGAGATTTCCAAGTTTCGTTACTCCGTCGCAGTCCGAGATCAATATTTAGTCGGTAATTCCAAATTTAACCTTTTCGTCGATGATTAGTTTCCTTCATACACTTGATGAACAGTCGTAGTCAAATCAGCCTTATAATCGTCGATATTTTATCTGTTAAGATCAACTCGTCAACCCTAAATACCAAGGACATTAATCTTCAACGAGCTTCCGATAGACGGTACACGATTCCTTAGTACAGAGACTGTTCGAGCTGATTGATCACCACCGAATAACCAACAGCGTTTTAACACGTGCCAGTCGCGAGGATTCTTCCGGGTGAGCGCAACTGTGTGGTCGTGTGTGCGGCTTCTCACCCCTTTTTCCCTGCCCGTGTCCTCCTCTCTTTGAAGTCCGACCGGCACCGATCGATCCGATGGATCTCTGTGCCGAGAAAATGCGCACACAGGAGAATTCCGTGCGGAACAACGAACGTTACTCGAGCGAACTCGTTCGCGCGAGTTGCAGTTATTATACCACGAACGGAAAAGTCGACAAACTTTCGTCCCGGGGTAATTTAGACTGGAAATTGCGGCGATAGGAGTATGGAAGAAGGAGGAGGAGGAGGAGGAGGAGGAGGAACAGGGGCCGATAGTTCAATTACCTTTTCGCCTTCTTCGCGAAGCTTTCACGGTGGTTACGTGCATGCACGGGCACGGAAAATCGCAATGGCAAAGGGGCGGTGGTATCCAACGATCGATTCACGTTACCATAACATTAAATTCAGTTTGCCCGCTCGTGCACCGGCGCGCCGGCACGCGCACCGCGCGCACCTTTTCATACGATGATCGATCTGTTCGCGTTCGCCGATCATCGGGATCCAGACACTCTCATTCGTCGATCGTTTCACGCACCGGGGCCACCGCTACGCTCGCACAGGTGTCATCCAACTGGACGTGTCCGTCGAATGCACCTGCTTGAACCGACAGTCAATCTCTCTCTCTCTCTCTCTCTTTCTCTATCTATCTATCTATCTACCTATCTTTCTCTCCGCGAAGGTTACGCAAGTTCCGTCGTCTCAATAATATTTATTTATACTTTATCCCAGATTATCCACGTCGTCGATGCTTCGATCGAGCACTTCCTCTTCCTGTGGCTACGTCACTCTTTATTAATAACCGATCCGCGATTATTCCTTTCCGCCCAGAAATCTGTTCGTAGTTCAAAGCGAACACGCAATTGGTTCTACATCATGTTACAACTCCTTCGTCCAGCCATCGGTGAACGAATTTTAATTCCTTCTTCCTTAGACGGACGACGACAACATGGCAAATTCGCCGGATGATCGGACTACGTTTGAGAAACTCTGCGTCATCACGATCGAACTGCTGTTCGGTGACTATTGACGAATGAACATCAAGTGGAAGAGGCGCGCAACGCGCGAGTAGAAGAACCGCGTGCTTGGTCAGACGTCACGCGGCGGACTCGTGCGAGGCGGATAATGTCGGCGAACCCACGGACGACGCGTCGAAGATGGAAGATCGTGGCTAAGCGAGCAAGGGAGCGACCGGGACGGAGTGAATGGTAACACACACGCGCGAGCGACGCCGACAACACGCGAACCACGCGAAAACGGAGAGAGACACGTGCGACCTGAGCCGCAGTACCGCTACAACTGAACCATTCGAAACCTCCACCTCTTGCCGAGCTCCCTCCTCTCGCTCTCCACGCCGCTTCGAACCCTACTGCCGCTACATCGCCCTCTCACTACTCTCACTCTCTCTTTCTCTCTCTTTCGATTCTTTCTCTCTCTCTCTCCACCTTATTGCTCGTCGATCATTCTGTCTCTCCTTCTCCCCCCTTTCACTGGTTCCTCCACTTCTCTGTTTTCTCTCGTCGTTACTCTCGATTAGCGATGGGATTGAAGACACCTGGAATTACCTCGAATCTCTGCGTGTACAGCGGAAAAGTCGAGTTTTTCAAATTCTTGAAAATCTTAACAAGGCCGGAGGAATCGTGATTACCTCGAGGGCCTTGGAAAGTCGTGATCGTCTTGGATCGCCTGATAGTTGAGGATTTGATGGCATGGTAACTAGTTACCAGAGAAAATACCAGGTACTCATCGCGCTACGAAACTCTATATCGTAATTTTCGGAATTTCCGAGACGTCCGAGACGATCAGAGACTCTCGAGACTCTTGAAACTCAGGGCTTCCCGTGATTTTCGAGGGGTTTTAAACTTCGAGTCACACTCGGGGTGACTCGAACTCGTCGTTAAATGTACAATAAAAATTCGACGTGTCTCTCAGATCGAGATTTTCTCTCGATTACTTGTCAATTTTCTGTTCGTTGGTTTGTTGGTTTCTCTCGTTTCCTGAGAACTACGTTATTTTTTTCACCCTCGCAAATAAACTTCGCCCTCAGGTAAGCATCGGGGACAGTTTCCTCGCGAAGCAAATCACCGGAATCCGTCTACCCTGCGGCGAACACGAAAGGGGATGTTTAGTCGAAACCAAGGAAAATCGTTTTGGGAAATACGTATTAAGATAAGGAATCGTAAGTAAATTTGCAGATGTCAACGCGGCCAATCATCGTTTTGGGAAAGGGAAGAAGTCTCACGGAATGGAACGATTATTTCGTTTTCGAGATAAACAGCGATATTTGTAATGATTGATTATGACAGCGAGTGTTTAACGTAGACGTTGAAAAGACGATTGACATTTTGATGAATTTCGAGTAGTAAATTATTTTTCTCCCTGCATGAAGAGTATTTCATTTAACTGTGTAATTTATTAACGTCATATGGATTATATTGTATTGTAATATTTATAATATTTATATGTAACATAATAAAAAGTATAAACATAAAGAGAATGTGAGAACATGATAAAATTTGAAAATACGAAGAGAACAATTTTTACATTTCCAATATTGATCCGCATTTTACACTTCTTTTGTGTCGAGATAATTTTCAAAAAGCGATATGCTAAACAAATATTAATACATGTGGCGAACTGATACGGTTGATTAATTCATTGAGATAAAGCAAAATCAGAATAAACTTCATATCAATACATTCGCAGAGAATAAATGTATTTTTTGCTTCATAATACTCTCGTCATATTTTTCAAATAACTTTTTGATACAAAGCCGACGATCTGTTCGTATAACTTGTTTCTTTTTTCAATTTATGCCCATAAAAAATTCTAACGAAGTTTGACTGAAAAAAAACTAGTATATCAATCACATTATATCAATATACAATATGATTTATGTAAACTGTAAAGTTCAGTATAAAAAAAGGAAAATTTTAAATTCCTTCATCTTGCACTACTTTACAATCCAATTCCTTCATTCTACACTAAGTTTTAAATTACAGTTGTATGAATTATTGCATAATTCAAAAAAGGGGAAAAAATGAGCACACATAAACTTCAGATCAAGTACTTGTAAAGTCACATATTTGTAAAATCGAATTTTATTATTATGGTAACGAAATGGCAAAACATCTCATATAACACACGCATAATATATTCATAAAAACTTTCTGTCGGTGTTCAAGTACTTTCACGAGCCACTGGGACTTCGAATCCGCAACGTGAGATATTTATGGCGAAGCCGCAAATCATAAAAAGAAATAAGACGATCCAGACCGTGTCTTATGCGTTTTCGTTTATATGACATTCGATCGTCTTATCGCGTTTGTTCCTCTCGGAATCGTCTCCACATTTGTATCCCTTCTTTGACCCTTTCACCTTTTATTGCCTCCATCTTACGTCAACGGATATCACCGACTTAACCTTTCAGAAAATTTCCCTTATTCGAAACGAAAATTTCCCTTATAAAATCTGGAACTAGGAATTTTTCAATGGGAAATGGAGCAATGAATAAAAGCGCGAAACGAATAGAATTAATCGCGTAGTAGTTGGACGAGTCGGGATAAAAAAAATTAATTTGTAAAGCAACGCAAACGAGGAACCATATGAATAATTAGAAAAGTTCATCCCCTTTATAGCCAGTTCAATTATTTATTTGCAGCGCGCGATTCTCCGCGAGATTCCTTTTTTTTTTCTCTCCCTCGTCTCTGCTCGTTTCCTTTTTTCCTCTCATTATCGTACCTTTCCTTTCAACATGCCACTTCCGCCGTCGTGATTCCTCTTTGCTCCTCGACGCTTGCGACACTCATCGAGCCCCGTAACACCCCTTTTCGTCTCCTCTTTCTCAATCGTGAATTACTTCCATTTCCTTCACAATTATGGAGATAATAACATAACTAACTTACATTTTTCTGACAAACTTATATGATTTCTAATGGCGCACAAAAGTTTCTTAATCTGTTATATTTTCTTCTCTATTTTTGCTATTAGGTACACCAATTCCTTTGGTACCAGTGTGTTTATTAATCAATTATTATTTTCTTTTCTTACTTTATCTCTCTATTTAACATTAATAACTTTGTTAATGCTGTTAAAATCGATCGATTTATTGACGTCTATCATAATATTCATTCGCGGCTTTAATCCTCATCTGCTTCTTATTTTTTTTAATTTGATTTATTCCTTGGTACTTGGTGGAGGGTGAAACATTAATATAATGAAAAGATAAGTAGTTAAATTTCTAAATTTTTAAATTCTTTTTCTATTTAGTTTACTTCTTCTTCTCAATTTTTCTTATAATAAATTGCTATTCAATCACAATAATTTTATTTAATTATAATTATATCGAATAAAGAACCTGAAGACGAATATTATTTGCAAACATTCTAACAACATAAAAAATGTAAAAAATAGATGCTGTGTGTCGCATTTATTTTAGCACTAATTATGTTCAAGTATATTAAATTTATTTATTATGCTTTCTAAAATTTTCTTGTTATTAATATGAAACGTAAAACTTGGAAAAAATCCATTCCTTGAAAAATAGACACCTTTTATAGCATTCATTTCATTGTAGATATCGCAAATGTTTCAGCTAAAAGTATCGTACAAAGTAATCCGACTTTTTGTCAGAAAAAATATACACAAATTAACACACACAGAAATAAAACTTAATTGAAGCTATCAATCGTTTGATTCTCCGTAAGATCACGTCGCCAACTTGCTAAATTGAATTTTCGTTGACAAATCTGTTCGTAATCATCGTTGACCTTCTTAAATGTTTCAAAATGTTCGAACATTTCACGCTCACTTGATTTTTCCACCGTCAGCCGCTTCGACGTCATGGTTTTCTGCCCACTAAGTATATTCTTCAAATATATTCGCCTTCCGTCCGATTGTCTCGGTTTATGTAAATTCCCCGCGATTTACTCCCATTTCGCCACTGTTCTTAATTCCCCTTCTCGAACTAATGCAAACAGCACGACCGGATAATGAACATTTCGGAATATGTTTCGAAGAAGGGAGACAAGACGCGAAACGGTAATTGAAATACACCCACTCGACACGAGGCTTCCTGTGAACTGCAATTTTCCATCTTTAGCACGAACACTAAGTGTTATTTGAATGTGCAACACGGTTAAATATGTTCTATTAAAATATATTTTCTCCTGGATTTCTTTACTTTAATATTATCAATTTGCGTAACAATATTATTACAAGTTTAATATATACTAATATTATTATTATTTTGTCGAACAATACATTTGGCAAATTTTTATACACTTCGTGGTATTCAAATTCGTTGTACAAACGAAGCCAGAAAGGTTCCACGACTCAAAATGATGTGAAAACTAGGGATGAACCCAGGGATTTTCAGAAAAATTTAATTTAAAAACTTCTAGTATATGCAAATTTGAGCAACTCCCAGCTAGACAGAGATGGACAATTAATACGAGGTTATTCTATGTATGAAAATAAAGTCAAAACTGTAAAATTAAATCTTCTCGTTTGACGTTTGATTTTCAAAGCTAAATTTAAAGTTTCGTCTTATTCTTGACTACAACATATTTTGCATACATTCACGTGCATACACCCTCGTATAAATACTAATGGAATAATTGAACAAAAGATCTGTTAATATATTAACAATCGTGTTATAAAATTAACATTACGAATGAACGTTCAAAGACTATTGAACGATGCAATTTCCCTGACTCCGCATTCGCAGTCGATTCTACTTCGACGAAATAATGGCGTTTCATACGTGAGCTTGGTGGCTAACATTTTTCATGCTGATAACTTTGCTATGAGTTACAGTAGATGACCGATAAAAGGTTCGAATTCAACAGTGATAACTTTTTCCCGCAGATAATGCCCTTAATTCGATTCCTGTGTCGCAGATATAAATTCACCTACCCCCGTTAATGTACTCTAATACACGCGGCAGAAGAACTTAATCCTCTATCTCTCGTCACGTGACAACGCTATTGCTCTATCGCGCTATCCACAGAGCAGCGGCTTTTAAAGGCAAAATGTATTTTACACTCCACGTGTCGCGCTCCTCCGCTTATATACCGATAGATAAATTCACGCTTCGAAGGATTTAATTTAGGTCAGACATAAATCGACCTGGGTCGCGTAATTACCAATACAGTGGCTCCGGAGAGATTCACCGTCAGCCCGCCTAAAATCCGCCAGTTCAAGTGTCTCGGTTAAAGACACCTTTCGTAAATCCCGTTCGTATTACGAGCTGGAGTAGAGGAACATTTCAAATTCAAACGCAGTGCGCGGCTACATCT